CCAAGCGCGAGAATTGATGAAAGCTATCTATATATATTCGAGGGTTGAAAGTTAGAAACATCGAAGTAGCGTAAGAATTCTTTTACGCTTTGTATCTCATTCAATTTATATCACTGACCTCTTTTCATGCATGACAGTGCATCTTATCAACAGAAAATACTTGGATATGTTTGCTCGCGTACTAGGGAAAGGAGACATTGACCGCAAAAAAATGTGTGATTAGCAGTTTGTTGTGTAAACTTTATACTGTTATGAAATATTACGAGCAAAAGGAATCACTTTTTGACCTTGTGCTTTGAGGAAAGAATCACCGGGTTCACTAGCCAGTATAAGTTGTTTTTGAGCGTACTGCCTGTTGTTACAAGCGTTAGAATCTGTACAGAGCTTGGAAATATGACTATAGGCGTTGCACTAATACGTGATATCGCACTACCACTCATTCATTTCTGAATACTCTTCAAGAATCTGAAGTTCATTAACCACCGATGATCGCGGCACGCAGCGTTTCACGTTGTCTACGTTTCCTTTCGCTCATATCCGTTGCTTTATTGATCTACAGTGAGAAGTCTCAGTTGGAAGCCACGATGACGAGCAATGAGCAGACGATAGCCCAGCGACACGATCGAGCCTTAATGTCGACTTCTGATCAAACATCAACGACTTTGAAAGAAAGAGGTGCACCGTTTTCGGTCGAAGAAGTAGTTAATAGGGTCTCACGCCTTGTGTCTTTTTTTACTTCTTATCTGTGGAAAAAGCTCGCATCGTCTTGGATCATGAGGTTCTTCAAGCCACATATTGACATGAGTCACGCCTTTGACAAAATTGCAGCAGGCAGCAAACTACTTATAATAGCGCACGCTGACGAGGTGACGGATTTCTTCAACAGCCATGAGTTCCAATAGTGGTCGAAATACTTTACGAACGCCTTCTCTGATAATCCAAAAGACGGTAATCGGAATATTGTGCTGACGTGGGCAAAACACGATGAGCAAAATAGGTATTCCAACTTAGGTTGTCGGCGACAAATTAGCTTTTGGCGATCTTTTCAAAGTCGCACTGATGAATATATTGCCCGATGCTAAGACTAAAGAGCTCAGCTGTTTGCTGATCATATTGAAGGCTCACTCCTTGAGCTCGGTGAGAAACTGTAGGCAGTCGAGGGATCAACAGAGCTTGGATGGCGCCGAAGTGTAATGCACTCTATTTGATCAATGGAAGAGAGGGTTGTCTACTTAATTATCTGACTGGTGTCAGCCCTGGTGTGTCTCCAGCTTTGTATCTACTCCACACAAATTGGTTACCTCTTTCTCATTAAGCTTCACCAATAGAAAAGACATCCATACTCGTCTGTGTGTTGAGACCCCGGTGGCACGTCAGATCCCTTCCGAATTCTTGGTTGTGTCCAGAACTTAAATGAGTCAGATCTTGAACGCCCTCTCTGACCTTTACAAACGCACTGCGTACCTTCATGCGGTTCTGCTCCGCATTACAGCCTTAGCGCAGAGGGCAATAAATTATTTGGAGTGGTGAACGCTGCTTTATCGACATCAAACACTTCAGATCCATCTAGTTCGTGAAACAGAATCTTCTTTCAGCTTTTGCAACATTAAGTGAAACACAAAATGTATACGCTATACTCTATGGTTACGAGTGAAAAAGTTAGGTGGGTATGTCATACTCAATAATTTAGTCACATAATGATAAGAATGAATCATCTTTTTTAAATCGAGGTATTGGCTCTTCCTCATGTAACATGCATGTACCCTTTAACACATCCGGTTCTGGAATGGTAGAATGCAACGTCATTTTGCTTTTACTTCTAAAAGGTCCTAGGACGGGCAACTGTTATATACGAACTCCCCAGACACACACCCTGGACGACATACAGTCGTCATTCTCTGTCTCATCAGAGAAAACATTTCGATATTGCGATCTAAGCTTAGCCCATTTTTCAATTCTTGTGTCTCGTCATCAAATCGGATTTCCTGCCGCTTATTTTTCTTGCGTACTGCTCAAAACACTGTGTAACATCCTTGCTAGTCAGGCGACACAAAAGCATGCCCTGCAAGAACGCTAGATGCAGCCGTGTGCCGTGCCTTTATCCGTGCCAAAAGATTTTCCGCTATCCGCGTAGGAACTGCCAGGGTTCCAACAAGAGATCGGTCAGTGGAGTTCACCTTCAAGCGACTCATAAATTGTGGTATTTCATCCACGCCAAACCTAGGATGAAATTATAGCCAAAATTTAGATCCAGCACATAAAATGTCTACACTGTCACCCACGTATTTTACATCAATTATGCATTAGCAAGCAGTCAACTCATTTTGGCAGTTGCGTGTTGTACACTTGTACGAAGCTTCTGAATGAATTTTGGAATACACAAAGTGCTAAAAGTTGATGTTTTTAATAAACATCTTGGACTGTGTACCTATCCTATTACAAATTGTCGCTGTTTCTAAAAGCGAATACACCGGCCTGACCTCAACAAGGTAACTAGAAACCATTTTGATCAACTACGTCAGCTGAGGCTCCACGTTGGACTAATCTCGGTCATGCGTTGTGGCATATCCGTTTATACTTCCCAGCACCTAAACTACCAGGTTCTCTTTATCTTTCTTCTCAGCAAGATTGAATGTCAGCCACCTTGGGGCGAGTTGACCGCTTTCGTTTTTAGTCCTACATCGGGCACTAGCAGCACTAAAAGTTATACTCCAAATCAAATGCAAACCCACCGTATATTTAACGGCGTTAGGGTGAGCGGAGTGAACGAAGAGGGACTTGACGAAATATGAACCTGTTGGAGATCCACTTTGAAGATGGGAATTGCTACCGCCATGTTACGAGTCCGCCGACATTACAGCGAAAAGATTTCGTATCATCAAGCAATGTCCTCCACTTTAAGCTCCTTGATCGCCTACACTTCGGATGCATTCAACATGCCGGATGACTGGGTGCGAAATCCCGCGATTTATATCTTCTGATGTTGACAGTTCTATCCGAAAGTGTGCCGCGTTCTCAGTATGAAGCAAACAGTGGAGAAATCGTATACTGCGATCTCCAAGTTATTAAATATTGAGACGGGAAAGAATGGCTGCATGTCGTGGAACCCGGTGTGAATTTAGTGATACAGCAACGATCCGCTGTAAGCTGGTGTCGTCTATACCAGGGCTGCTGGAGCCCGTTTTTGAAAGAGCTGCTTTTTTAAGACTGGATCTCAATCACCTCGATATATAATGTATCCATGTCTTGTTCAGTAGGCCACCCTGCGCCTGCTGGGACTTGATGCTTTTTAAAAAGAAGATGGTATTTGAAGAACCTGCGCGGAAGACCAAACTTCCAATTTCCTTGAAACAGAAGAGAAGCCGGAATACAGGGCACAAAGGCTGGAACCGAAACAAATGTAACATGTGCAAGCAATATGGCACGATTGCTCTCGTCAATATCAGCTTGAATGCCCGTAGACAATCCACCTCCCGAACTCCAACCCAACCAGAATGTGTTTTGTTACGTTCACAACTCTAGCAAAGAGGCAGGGCGAGCGTGAACGGTCTCAGTGCAACTTGCGCCTGTTTGGGGACCTTGTACCCATATTGCAAACGTTATTGTTAACGGGTGACGGTCTGCTGACATTACTATCTACATAGTTCGCAATTTCTTGCGCTCACCGATGGGTAGACAAGTCTTCTGATCGTGAGCAAGACTCACAATAATGCGGCGTGCTGTCGAAACACCTGTTTCAACACTTTCCATACTGGCGAAGGTTTTTTTCAGATGTACTGCAGAGGCGATCCTATTTTCGTGCGCAGCCTTCAAGCTCTGGATCCATTAATGCGACACGCTGCTGCACTATCTGAAGCATGATCAAGTATAGCTCTTGCTATGCCTTTGTCTACAAAGAACTTGGTGCTTAAGACAACAAGCGGACATGCGGTAAGAGTCGGTTGTAACGCTAATGGAGGTGCACCAATGTGCACTTCATAGCTGGCGAGGGTCTACGAGGAAACCATTGCCGCTTTTGGGCCTATTTGAAATCAGTTTCTCCTCATTTCAAAGTTGATTATATATACAAGCTTTCTCATCCGTTAATGATATCCAGGAATAGGTAGTAGAATAGTCGTTGTCTATCCTCACAGACGATTAAGTTTATAATCTCACTGTTGCCGGATTGTCTATTGGTTTTCATTATCCCTGGTTTTTCCATACCCCTTGGACAAACAACGTTTGACTCTACAAGTCTGTTTAACATTCACGCAGAGGATGGGTTTGGACGCTCGACCCAGGAGCGGTCCAAGCAATTCTTAAGTATCCACGTTTTTAAATGTTCGCCTCAGTGAAAGCGACACAATAAAAATGTCCCAATTGAAAAAAGTATATGACTTGCTTCATTATGTTCAAAACCAAAGAATGCTATTATTTTCAGTGTCCAACGACTTTTTTGACGAAGTTCGATCGTCCTCATTCAAAGTAGTATCAGATCAATTTGAGCTTTCTAAATTGTGGTCATATAAAGTGATAAAATTTTTATTTTTCACTGTAGATGGCCATTAGATCATTATTTCGTGTGTTTGTTGGCACGGACTCTTTGTGTAAAACCTTCCTCTGTGTAAAGTGTACATAACATCCCGTTCTAGTTGGTGGCATTTGTCGGGACTTTTATCAGCCGAGGCTTGATAAGTCTGTGTCTTCGGTGGGTATGACAGATTAGTATACATTATTCGGCTTCAAAACACCAAGCCTTCGTATAAACTTCTATTTTAAAAAAGGATAGCACAATTGGTGACCGAAGGCCCGGATGCGCTTAACCAACGCCTGGAGGCGCTTAGACACTACGAGAATGCTGAGAAGACACGTTTGGAAGGATTAAAGTGACGCTGGTATAAGCATAATTGAAACTACAGAGCTCTGTAGAGCGAAACAGCTCCAATCAAGCGATAAGACTTTCAATCAAAGACAAAATACTCAACCTCCTTTCGAAAGTTAGACTCTGTTGGCCACAAATTTGGCTCAGCTATTTTAACAAGACAATAGCGCGTTAGTCTAATAATATCCGAGATTGAATATCGCGTCTGCAATGCGCACAAACATGAGTTACCAATCATGGCAACATGATTGTGATAGTCATCGATGGCAGAGTCTTTGTATCGTCTAATATGGCCTACCGCTAGCGGACATGGTTTTTATTCATTCATTAACCTAGGAGTTAGCGAATTGCCACGCAATCTCCAAATATTGATAATATTTGTGGCTTTGTTATCGACTGACTTTTGTCCTGAATGGGTAACATTTACCTAGTCCAGAATTTGCCCTGTACTTTTGCTGCAACTGGAAGTTAGGAAGCCGCTGTCAACGAGTCTAAAAATGAAATAATGACCGATTGTCCTATACAATGAAGTAACGAATTCCATGAAATTGAATAAACGCAATGTCTGTCTATTATTTAGTAGGCAAAACTTCGGGGAGAAAAAGCAAATCCTTGCGCGAATAAAAATCAAAAGTATTCATAGAGAGTCATCAAACG